ATATACTTCTAACTTATATATATATTTTTCTAGTCCTCTAATACTTTATAAGGATTTTATTAGCCTTATAAAGAGTGATTTAAAGCATATTTTACTTTTTTGTAATATTTCAAATTAATATTTCTTAGCTTATATAAATAACTCTAACCCTAAAAAGTATTTTATTATATTAAGAATAACATTTATTATGTAATTATAATTTAATTTTAGCTAATAATTAAAAGACTATTATTTTAAAAAAAAGTACACAGGATAATTATATGCGTAAAATAATTATAAATCATGTTACTTATTTACTTATTTCTAAGAAGCTTTTTTATATTATATTAAAGTTCTTACTTTGTTATAATATATTTTCTCTTATCTAGGCTTTTTAATAGCTACCTAAAAGGGATTTCCTATGCTAAGGGCACAAGAAATAAGAGCACTAAGCCGCTTTAGGATTCGGCTATTGTAGTAGCTCACGCTGCCTTATAAAGAAGTCGTTAGCTATACAGCTGTACCAGTATTAAGCTGTACTACTTGATACTCCTACTCAGACGTCTGGCTAGTAGGCTACGAGTTACAGGTGACGGCAGCGCCAGGAGAATAAGAATGAAATGCTATTGCTGAACATCCCTGCCCTTTGTTGTTTACCTAACCAGGAGGAATATTGTAATGATAGCATAGACTAGCTGTAAGAGAAAGAAAAGTGGTGACGCCGTAGTGCGTTAGTTAAGGGAACTGATAAATAAAAACAAGAGAGAGGACCTGCCACGCAGCAAGACTAAGATGCACAGGGCCATAACGAAAAATGTTGGATCAGGCTAAGAAAGTTGTAGATGGCGAAGAGGGTCTGAATTGCCTTATAATAGCGAAGAAGAGGGTAACAGCGAAGTTTAGTGGATTCTGAGTATATAGCTTAGTTATAACAAAATTTATCTTTAGCATAATGTTTAGATGCCTTTAAAGTAGGAGTAGTAATAGTAAGAAAAGGTTCCTTAACTTATAAAGTCTTTAATCTAGTAGAAGGAATCTTAATAATAATTCTTAGGGAGGTTTCTGCTTTAGGCAATAATTTGGCTATATATGTATAACTAACTTTATTTACCTCTTTAAGTAATTAGTCTTTAGTAGGGTTGTTAGTTCTTACTAAGTCTAATTCCTGTATTGCCTTTATGTTTAAATATAAACCTAGTTGTAAAGATGTCCTAGAAGCTTAAGAGGCATCAGATAATAAAGATTTATTAAGAGTCTCTAAACTGCTAAGCAGTTTTAAATTCTTTTATATATTTTTAGTTATACTGCTAGATAATTTTAGACCTTTTTAAATATCCTTTATACTCTTATTTAAGCTAAATTCTTTACTTAATGTTACTAGTTCTGTATCCTTCTTAGTAAATAAATCTAGTGATTTCTCTAATTCTTTTCTTACTCTTAACAAATCTAGATTATTATTATTTATTAAGCTAGAGAGGAAAGTACTATTAGGTATAGTTTCGTCTATTAAGATACAAGCTATATCTACTCTCTTTAGTATGCTAGATTTAACTATTTCTACCTAGTATTAGGCAGTATTAACATAGTTAAGGAAGATGCCTACCTCTTTACGTTAGCTTACTTTGTTTTTTCTAGCTTATCATATAAATAAAATACTTTGAGCTAAAGACGTAAAGAGTATTAATCTAAGGAATTTTTTTAAATTAAGCTTACTTAAGAGATTACTTAAGCTTACTACTATCTTTCTTTTTCAGATTAGGACTATTAGAGAGCCTGATTTAACTATTTTTACCTAGTATTAAGTAGCATTAGTATAGCTAAGAAAGATGCCTACCTCTTTGTGTTAGCTTACTTTGTTTTCTAGCTTATCTATATAAATAAAATACTTTGAGCTAAAGACGTAAAGAGTATTAATCTAAGGAATTTTTTTAAATTAAGCTTACTTAAGAGATTACTTAAGCTTACTACTATCTTTCTTTTTCAGATTAGGACTATTAGAGAGCCTATTCTTAATAAAAGAGGTTACTAAGACTATAAAGTTTTAATAATTCTTTAAAAAATTAAATAAATTATAAGGCTTATTTAGTAATTTTATTTTGGCTTAATATATATAATACTATAGATTATACTTTTATACCTAATTTGTCTACTTATATCTAGACTCTTAAATTAAGTTTCTTTATATTATTAATATAGATAGCCTTAAGTCTTCTCTTAGTTTGTAATTCTGTAGTTTTCTTCTATATAAAAAATTGTTTAGTAATGTTTACTTAAGTAATACTAATAAAGATAATATTATATTAAGTATAATTATTAATTGCCTTAAGAAAGTATTCTTTATCCTAATGTTTTATTATTAGGAATTTGCTATAAATATCTACAGAGATCAGGTCTAAAGGTGCTTTTACTTACTTTATAAGCTTATAATTCTGGTTCTTCTTAGCTTTTACTATATTATAAGCGTCATATTTATACTTAATTAGGGATTTTGTAGAGATAGTATTAAATAGATTTGACACTTTATAAAGATATCAAAGTTTCTTTTTATTAATATATCTTAGGTAATAATGCTATTTATTATATTCCCTAAAAACCTTTGCCTTTCTTATTTCTAATTA